TTGTTAATTTTTCAGATGTTTAATTTTAATTAAACCACTTGATGGGTCCATCCTTGTGAACATGGGGATAGCAAGCTTTTCTTAACTTTATTTATACTTATTTTTAATGGGGTTTTTGTGTATTTCATATAAAACCTCTTAATCATCTTTATATACCTGCCCCCATCCACACCTCCCGTAGCTCCCCCACCAGATTTCATGCATTCTGTCATTTCTATTAACACCTATCAAATCAAGTTAGTGTCCCCAGATGTCCCTCAGTGCAAGTTCATCCACTGGTATATAACCATCCTATCTCGAGTCCCTTCCTTAGAGAAGATCAACTCTCCCTCACCCAGCAGTAACCAGCTGCCAATAGTTCTTTGGCTGAGATTGGGGCCTGCTACCCATTTCTCAGCTTTTAAGAGTGTACATGAGATAGAAAATTTGCATAATTTGCATATATTAGATAGAAATTTACGTAAATTTCCTGGAAAGGCTGACTCCAAGTGACTTTCACTGTCTTGGAGTTTGCCTGATGTGAGGCTTATTATTCTCAAGAATGGTATGAAGATAATTTTAAGTCTTAGGGCTTCACTATGTTGATACACACACAACCTGAGGGTGTGCATGGATGTGAGAGCCAGAGATCAGTGCCTGGTGTCTGCCTCAATCACTCTCCACATTATTCTTTGAGACAGGGTCTCTCACTGAATCTGGAGCACACCAGTTTGCTTAGACTGGCTGGCCAGTGAGCTCCAGAGATCCTCCCGTGTCCACCTTCCCAGCTCTGGGGTTGTAGACGTGCTCCACTGTACCTGAAGTTTTTGTGTAGGTTCTAGGGCACTGAATGCGGAACGTCATGCTTGTGGAGCAAGCACTTTACTTGCTAAGACAGCTCCCCAGCCCCATACACAAACTCTTCATTTCTGCTTCTCTGTTGTTCTTTATCACTGCTGGGATGTGGGGTTTCCTCAGAATCAGTACTCCAGCCTCAGAGACTGTGCTTGTCACTGTCACTGAGAGACAGTTCATAGTCAGGCTCCAAGATGCCCAGATGGCTCTGCTGGCTTCCTGCCAGTCGATAGCATCAGAGATGTGTCCAGGAAGGATAGACTCTCCATTCTGTACACAAACCATGTCAATGCAATGACATGATGATGACCACCTGGTTTCCAATGCTGTCACATGAACACTCTCCACAATCTTCGCATGTGGACATGACCATTTCTCCTGTAAGCATGCACACACAGAACTTGCACCCTTGGTAAACATACTGCAAGCACCATTAAGATGATAATGGGAGGCAGACTTCTAAATGGACTGTGATGCCAAGGACGGATGACTGTGCTGCAGCCCAGTATTTACACACCTAGCAGGACCCATCCCAGGCCATGTTGCCAAAGCTAGGAGCCCAGGGTAGTGTGATCTGCCTGCACATCCGTGTCCCTATACATGACCTCAGAGCATAGAAGTCACACAGAAGGACAGAGTGGCTGATCTCACTGAGTTCTTCAGTCTCAGCACTGCTGATGCTAAGAATGAAGACCCATGGTACGGTGGACATTCAGAAATGTCTCTGAACTTCACCTGGGGCTACCAGAGCACCCCACCTCTACCTCAAAACATTTCCAGACACAAACAGGACCCCTGAGAGAGGGAGAATAGGATCACCCCAGCTGTGTACACCTGTTGTCATTGCAGACTTCTTACACAGGAGGGTGAGAGACCCATCCAGAAAGCCACATGAGAGTAGAGCCCTGCTCCCCTGGTGCTTGCAGCTGGGCCAAGTGCTATGAGGCTTTCACTGACCAGTGCATGTTGAATTGGCACCAGGGTTGTGACCCTGTCTCCTACCTTGTTGCTATGCCCAAATCCCATTGGGGTTCAGACATAAGAGACAAAGACAGGACTAGAAACTGTGGTAGCTAACACATGTTCACTGCCCTTGGTATGCATAGAAAGATAGGGTCTGGCTCAGCTCCCCTGAGCCCGGCAGGTGGAGCCAGTCCCTCTAAGGTAGATCGCTACATGTATACTGCTGCCTTCTGCCCCAGCTTAGATCTGATCAGAGCCCAGGCAGGCTCCCCAATCCCCATGGGGACTTCTTCCTGGGAACCAAGGCTTCTACAGCTCTGGGAGCCTCAGATCCAGACTCAGACCACCATCAGTCAGAGAGCTGTGTGGCCTTTTGGAAGCAGCAACTACAGAGGTTGGCTGCTGTCTAGGGCTCCTGAGCAGAACCCTTCAGAGTCCAGCATGCTGGTTCTTGCTTGTTTCCACCCCAACCCTGCCACACGGTGACTTCCACTCCCAGAAGCTGCCAGGGGCCAGGCTTGAGGGTACAAACCCGGCCTTGACATCCACGTGGAAGAGCCCTGCCCACAGAAAGCTCTTCCTCTGTCTGGTTGATTGGGGAATGCGCTTCTCACACTGGCCTCTGCAGCCAGGCTCTGTTCCTCACGCTCATCATCGCTCTCTCCACACTCATGGTCTACACCCTTTCACACTCATGGTCTACACCCTTCCACACTCATGACCTGCTCTCCCCTCCACACTCATGACCTGCACCCTTCCACACTCTTGATCTGCAAACCTCTGTTCTCCTGTGTCACCTAAACCTCCCCATGGGCACTTGAGGACCAAGGACAGTGTCCACCAGAAAGATAGTTCTAGTCACCTAGAACTGCCCATTTCTAGCCTCTCCAGGCTGAGCAGTTCCAACTTCCCTTGGAGCCAGACCTTGCTTCATCTAGGAATCTCAAGGGAACTTGCAGTATTTCCTCCCTGTCCCCAAAATTTATTTCAAATGAGTTTTAGAATGCTTAGATTATTGCTCTTTACCTTAATTATCTGAGAAGCACAAACCAATTTACAGAATTTTTTTCATGGCTAAAAATAACCTTTTTTTTTTTTTGCTTGTGTCCTATATGTGACCGCAGAGTTCCTACTCTTATTTCATAATTAAGCCCCATAATTGGAATTGAGTTCCAGAATTAACCTCCAGCTCAGTGACCTTGGCCACGCTGAAAGGTTATGTGGTCTTTAGCAAACATGGGCAAATCCTGGTTAGATCCCACACATCAGGCATGCAAGGAATGAAGGCTGTTGTTTCCCAGACTGGAAAGAGCCAAGGCTCCAATAAATAGTCATCAGCAAAAAAGACAACAAACAGGGTCACTGGACTATGGTAAAGAATTCAGGAAAGACCCAGGAAGACAACCCTGGTCATAGAGTAGAAACAGAGGGAAAAGCCGAGCGGCCATTTTGAGGAGAGGGAACAGAACGAGAAGACGAGATAGGACAGCAGGTGGGGCAGTGAGCTCACTGCAGATTCCAGGGAAGGTGGAGCAGGAACTGGGGCAGAACAGAGTGACTCCAGAGCCTGGACATCCAGGAACCTCTCTAGGACCTCAGGCTCTGGAACCAGAGAAGAGCAGGCACCACACAGATGCCTCCATCAATCTCCAGAAACAATTCGCTGTGGGGTAAAGAGCTGAGGCTCCAAGAGACACCCAGCAAAGCTCCAGGGACGATGCTGCCCCACAGGGTGCATCATGGGCAGAAAATGGTGCTGTAGACAGTAACGTGGGCTTTATGATTGTGGGAGCCTTGGGTCCAGAGAACGTGGGGTGATGAGTGTGAGTCTTGGAGCCATTTGGAAAAGGTAGCGATGGGAACCTCAAGCAAGCTGCAGACACAGAAAGTCAGGAAATACAGTAGAATCTTACCTTGTCCATCTCTGAATCTCTGAAAACACTACCTAGAATAGTTTTGTGTTTAAAATCCTTTCTTAAAAGATGGGCCCATGTTATCAAATGTCTTTTAGGGAAAAAGAAAAAGAGAGGACTTCTGATGCTTCTCTGGACAAAGAGTCTCTGATTTGTGACATCCTGTCCTCTTCTGTCAACCTCTAACCCAACTCTTCCCAAGGAGGTCTTTTGAAAACATCCCCACTCGTCAACCTCAATATGCTGAAGTGATAGATGAGCTGGCTTCCTCTCATTTGCCAGTGTTGTGGGAGGTGACATTGGGGGTTTCCTTGTTATATAAGCCCACTCCTGCATTGGAGCTAGAATAAGCAGCAGGACAGTGTGATGAACACACACAGAGGCCTGGACACAAGTCACACATCACTGCAAGACAGCATATCTCATGGACCTTCTGAAGTTCTTGAAGGACCTTGTTACCCCGAGAGGCACTGAAGAATGTTCTGGAAGGCAGCATCACATCTCATCATGGGACCCACCAACCATCCTTATCTGCTGTTGACTTTGAGGAACTCATTTTACCCTCTGGTGAAGGTCCAGAATTCCCTCAGGAAGCACTTCCTCAGCCTGCCTTTAGGATAAAATACTCAACTGCAATAGAAAACAGCTCACTCTAGATAGCACTTAGATCTGCCCCCCTACTGGATAGTCAGTGCCCCAAGTCCTGGCAAACAGGACACCCCCAAATGCTTTCATTTCCCAATTGAATGGCTGCAGCAGGTGCTTGCCTCCTGTAGATGAGGCAGGTTCAGAAGGGGCTGGTGGAAGGCCCAGGTGAGGCTGCTGGTTTCTGCTCAGGATGGAATCACATGCCTGGTGCCTTTTCTATAGACCTTCACAACCCATAACACTGAGTGTGCACTTACAGGAAAACAAACAACTTTCTAATATCACATATTTTCTGTTGTAAAAGTAATAGGTACCTGTTATAAGGATTTTTAGAAGATACACTCAGAAGAAAGAGCAGTGCAGTGCTGCCACTGTACAGTACGTGTGACTGAGGATCCTGCCCACTTCTTTTCCCTGTCATGGTTCTTACTTGTATCTCTGTTGCCAGGTTCTAAGGTGCTTTTGTCATTTATAATGTTTTCAGTGTTACCAACATATTCCTGTAGGTGTCTTTAAACACAAAGGATTTCCTTAAGCCATACACCCAGAAACAGACTCCCTAGGCTGTAGGGTGTGAGCATGTCAGAGCTGTAGACCAGGCTCAGTGGGGGAACTCACCTGACCCACTTCCTTCTCTCATAGCTGTCTCTTACACGAATTACAAGAAGACGCCCCCACCGGTGCCTCCACGGACCACCTCTAAGCCTCTGATCTCGGTGACAGCCCAGAGCAGCACCGAATCTACACAGGATGCCTACCAGGACAGCCGTGCCCAGAGGATGTCCCCATGGCCCCAGGACAGCCGTGGCCTCTACAATTCCACGGACAGTCTGGACAGCAACAAAGCCATGAATCTGGCTCTGGAAACAGCCGCAGCTCAGCGCCACGCTACCGATGCCCAGAGTAGCTCCACACGGATCAGCGATAAGGCGATCCTGGTGTCCAAGGCTGAGGAGTTCCTCAAGAGCCGCTGCTCCTCCATTGGGGTCCAGGTAGCCTCCCTTGACTGCCTGCACTAGCACCTACATAGCATGAGTCAAAGTCAAGACACATCCCTGAGTCCTTAGGCTGCCTTAAGGGAAGCAGGACAGTGAAGGCTGAGAGGGAAACCACATGTGCCTGCTGCAGGGCGACGGACCCCAGTGCAGGGCACAGGGAGATGAGGCTCAAGCCCTGCGCCACCACCCAAGGACCCCCCAGAGATGCACTCCCTGTGGCTCATAGTCAGGGGGAGAATTTGGACAGGTTATTCAGATGCCTAGGAAGGGGAAGAGGAGGTGCCTGTCACAGTAACTTGATGACATTTCAGTTCCCCCAAGGAATGCTGAAATGCTGGAAATAAAGAGATAAACAGAGCTGAGTCCTGTTGAGCTAAAGGTTGGCCCAACTGGGGCAGTGTTTAGCCAGGCTCTTCCCCACACGGCCAACAACCCCAGAGGCCTCTATACAGAGCAGCACCCTGTGAGTTAGACCTTGCAGGGGTGCCCCACCTCTCATTAGGCCCCCCAGCCTGGCGGGCCTTGCTACTCCTTACCCCAGTCAGAGAACCTGGCTCAGGTGCAGTGAGGGACACTCAGTACAGAATGTTGACCTCAGGTGACTTCCTCCTAGTCCCAGGGGGACATGGTTGCACAGGGCTGCTGGCCAAGCTTTCCTGACACAGGTTGCCTCTTGTTGCCTTTTGTGCCTCAACTCAGCCTGTGTCCAGTGGGTTTTACAATCAGAATGATTAATTCTCCACATACCAGCCCCACCCGCCTGCAAGGAGGAAGCACACAGAGCTGGAGGTGACAGCCCTCGTACAGGACTGGGGGGACAGGCAGAGACCAGGGGGTGTTGGCCCACTGGCCTGGGTCCTTGAGCCAGGTCTCCACACTGTGGCTTCATTGTTTTGTTTAGGATTCTGAATTCCCAGACCATCAGCCCTACCCAAGGTCAGATGTAAGTACCGACATCTCCAAATCCAAGTTCGCATGAAGTTTATTTTTTCTCTTTGGATTCTTCATACGACTGCTCTTGTCACCTCTTTGTCCTGGTTCTATGTACCAGGCACTCTGCTGGGTGCCCCACATTGTTGCACAAACCCTTGCTGACCCCTAGGAGGTGACTCGGCTGCTAGGTAAAGACAAGCAGGACTTATAGTGCAAGCCTGAGGAATCTAAGAAACTGGGAAGTCAGGGCACATTTGCCACCTCTGTCTGCGGGCACATCCATGATAGACTCAGAGTTCCCCAGGACACACCCACCACCAGCTGCTCATACCCTTCCTGGTAAAGACCACAACCCACAGTTGTGCACCAGTAGGCCCACCTCGGGTATAAGAGAGTCAAGTTTCAACTTCTGACCACTTAGGCTCCCTGCCTTCACCTGGCAGGAGCAGATGTCATTTCAGAAACATGAAGCAGGGTTATCATGCTACAAAAGACTACAAGACTTCCTGCCGCCTCCTCACAGAAAACCCCACACTGCACTTACCCATACTGCCTCCCCTCACAGCAGGAACTTACACCTGCCGCACCTGCAGACAGACAGACAGACAGACAGACACACACACACACACACACACACACACACACACACACACACACACACACACACACACACACCCCTCCTCACACCCTCATAGCTGAACCTCACATACCTAGCCTTCCATTCTGAGCTCTAGCCAAGTCTGAGGCTCTAGAAGTTTTTCTAGGCACCATCCTCCCACACAATGTGTTCTGTGGAGGCTGGGCCCATGCCTCTTGCCTCTTGGTACCCCAGCACCTAGCACAGTGCCTGGCACATAGCAAGCTCTCAGTTCATGTTGGGTATTGAGCGGATGGCTGCATTGGCGGTGAGTGCTTAGTGATACGTGTGAACGCCATGACACCGGTAGATAAACTCATTTAACTGCCTTTTTCAGTGATAAAAAATAGTGTATTACATGAACACATAGCTTCACAGTTGTCTAAATAAAATCAGTTGAGAAGCTAAAAATGAAAATTTAGTTGAAGAAACTTAAATGTCAGGATGACAAAGAGAGGCAGAAAGTCCCAACTCCAAAGACCTGGAGAAGTGGACCTCTTAAGCAGGTGAGAAACTGTCCACTGACATCCAGGGACTGGAGACAATGCCAGGGCTTAGAGGACACAGAGCGGACATAAGTAAGTATATAAGCTTGTGGACATGTCCACACTTAATCCACACAGTGATGGAATGAGCCAGGTGCTGTCCTTCCAAAGGCAAGGAGACAGATGACCAGGGAGAGTAAGTGACTTGCCTAAGGGTCCACAGTCATGAGTGCCACAGCCACCAGGATACGGCTGCCCTCAGCCCTTGCACAACTCTGCTGCCCAGAGAAATGAAGCTGGGTTATGGAGGATTCTGTACCTGCGGAACCTGCTCCTGCATTCCCCACATGCCTGTTGGGGTTAGGGCATCCTAGCTGGCAATCCTGATTGGCCAGCCTCTCTCTGTCCTCAACTTGTAGATGACTGCCCACATGGTGTTCAGCACCAGAGGGCACTGCTTCTGGCCTGTCCCTGACCCTCATTTGTTTTCCCAGAACCTGCCTTCCCTGGGGAAACATGGGTAGAGCCATGTGGACGCAAATAGTCCTGCAGTTCTCAAATGCTGCCCTTCCTGCTGAGCTTGCTCCCCTCATGATCTGCTGGCTCCTGGAGGGACAGCTCCCAGTCCACAGGTATCAAGTGACCCTCTGCCGTCAAGTCTAGAATCTAGAAGCGGAATGGAGCCTGCCCACTATGGTACCTGTAAGACTCTCACATGGCCACACCTGTCCCGTCTTCCCTCCCTACCCAGCTTACAGTAAACATGAGTATCATATCTCCTGTTGGTCACATGGCTAGACCCTACAGGGTAAGTGCAGCCTTAGGAACACATCATAGTGACAGCCCAGGCCTGGAAGAAGGAAAGCAATGACTGTGTCCTTGTCGCCCGAATTCTCTCTGGGTCTCCTGCGCTATCAGACAAACCATATAATATATTTTATGTGCATTTATTAACTTACAAAGGAATGAGAACCCAGTACCTAGCTCCATGCTGCGCAGCTCAGAGCCTGCCATATCAGAGGGCACCACAACTACCATAGTCCAGGCTAGCCTTCACTCACACCTCAGGGGCCTGCGATCTCGCCCCAGGTCCTCAAGAGTCAGTCCATTCTGTCTTTGAGCTCCTGTGGCTGGCTGGCTCCGCATTCCCCACACCACCCAAGCTACCCAAGGCTCCCATCCCGAGATGGCTCCCAGCAGCCCCTTCCTAGTCCATGCCCCCCATCAGGCCCCGCCCAGTGGAGGAACTAGCCAATTGGGAGACAGTCCTCTACAGTCATCTGGCTCCCTGACTCTTCACTGCAATGGGACTATTTAACCCTTTGCATTTGTTGTTTTGTTTCATCTGTTTGTAGTGTGTCCACTGTCACTTTTGTATTGGATGTGTGTGTGTGTTTGAGAAACTTCCCACACACTTCATCGGTGGAAGGTAGCCATGGTCAGCAGGCAGGAAACCTTCAGTCCATGTGCCTGGCCATACCTGTGCCTTAGACATCACTACAAACTGCACCTCAGGAAGCCTTTGTGACAGTTCCTGTTGAGCAACCTGCTGATCCCCACCCTGTTCCCTGTGTACCCCTATACCCTGCCTCCGCTGCTGACGTGTTGATGCCCCTAGGCTCCTCACTTAATATGGCTTCTTAACTCTTGGACTTAGGTTAGGCCCCTGAAGAAACTGATGTGTTTGTATCAAAACTACGCATCTTCCTGGCTCTAAGGAAGGCTCACAAGATGGAGCCAAGGGAGTATGTTTGGAAAGCAAAGGTTCCAGATGGGAGTTCAGGCATGGGAGCAAGCAGCCCTGGTGACCCATATTTCCCCTCAGGATCTGGCAGAAAGCCAGGTTCAGAATGCTGCTGCCTGGCTCTGGCTGTGACTTGGTGGCAAAACCTGGTTTGATGAGAGATGGGGCCAGGGCACAGGAAGACTTGCCTCGTCCCCAGGCTGATGCCCCATTATTATCACCCCTGAGCCTGCAGACAGTCACATAGTGTGTACACACGTGCACAGGCTCACAGTTACATGAACACTGTCTGCAACCAATTCCTTATTTCTCAAGAAGATCACATGCACAGATGCCCTCCCAGCTCCCATCTTCACAATTCCAGCTCATGTAATTCCCTCTGTGTGTGTATGTATGTATGTATGTGCACTGTGTATGTATGTGTGTACATATATATGTGTGTGTGTGCATGTGTTTACTGTGTATGTATATGTGTGTATGTGTGTACTCTTTATGTGTATATGTGTGTATACTGAGTATATGTGTATGTGTGCATGTGTACATGTGTATATGTATGTATTATGCACATGTGTATGTATGTGTGTGTACACATTGTATGTGTATGTGTTCATGTGTGTGTTTATAACACTGTGATTCTTGGTACCTCCAATCCACATACTTTCCTCCAACTACATGAAAATTGTTTTTGATGTTTTAAACTTTATGGCCATCATTTAAACAACTGTGAAGTCTTCCACGTCATGACTAAATAATAATTTGATATAGAGCCCTTTTCAGTCCCTGCTTCCACACATTCCCCTTATAAATGACACTGATAAAGACCTCACACATTGACACCATTTCTTCAGACTGCTTTCCTAGGAGTGGGGTAAATTAAGCAAATAATTTCAACATTTTCATGATAAAAAATGCATGCTATTTCCATTTCAAAGTCTCTGAGAGGATATATTGATGTCATTCACACTGTATACCTATCAAATTTGGCAGGACATGGAGATGCATGCCTGCAGTCCCAGAATTTGGGAGGCTGAAATGGAAGGATCATGAATTTGAGACCTACTCGGGCAACATAGTAAGATCATGTCCCTAAAGAAAAAAAATGGCAGTATGTTCTAAAACTGTAAATTACCCAGCACCACAGGTCCTAGGAAGATGTTCCCAAAAGTTATCCCAAGTGTATCTGTTTATAGTAGCCTCATGAACAATGGCAAAAAACTAGAAATGACCAAGTTATCCCTCCACTGAAGACATTATGTTGCATTCATAAAATGGAGTAATATGTAGTTAAAACACAAGGCGGTCCTGGAATGGAGCTCAGTAATTGAGAATTTGCCTAGATGTACAGGGTTCTGTCTCTAGCATAATCAATCAATCGATCCCTCACTCAATGGCAGTACCATGTGTCCTAACACGCAATTTAAAACATAGGGGCTGGAGCGATGGCTCAGCAATTAAGAGCACTGAATGCTCTTTCAGAGGACCTGGGTTTGATTCCTAGCACCCACATAGCAGCTACGAGCCATCCTTAACTCCAGTTCTGGGGGAATCTGAAGTCCTCTTCTGACCTCCACAGCATTGCACAACACAGGTGCACTCACATACATGCAGGCAATATGCTCATACACATAAAAAAAACATTAATTTATGTTAAAGTCTGTTGTGTGAAGTATTGGTACTCTCCATGACCAGCAAGGTACAATCGGCTAGGGCCATGACCAATTAGAAATAGGAGAAGTGGTAACCCCTAACAAAAAGGTTAGGGTTGTCATTGTAGAACATTCTTCCTACCGTCAATCCTTTCTTCCCTCCGGCTGTCAGAACCAGCAGCACTAGTCTAGGCAGCATCTACTTATCTACAGAACTGCCTCACTGGGATAGGAAGTTTCCAGACTCCATCCTCTCAGAAAAGTGCAGGACTTCTGGGTCTCCTGTGGCCATGAGGATTGCAGAGCAGGGCTCCGAGGTTCCAGAGACCTGGGCTAGAATCCTGGCACTGCCTGCAATAAACTGGGTGCCCGTGGGCAACTTACTTGCTTCTCTGGTTTCCTAGTGGGTGGACTTGGAACACCACTGAGGTCTTTGGGTGGGCAGTGAGCAATAACACTTAGGACACCAAGCCAGTGCATGGCTCCTACTCAAGCAAAACAAGTATATCTGTGGTCCACGGCTTCTCTGGCCACAGGGGTGGCCACAGGGGCACTGAGGGGCAGCTGCAGATCACAGTTGGGCCTGGGCCAGCAGCTCTCCTCCCAAATGCTCAGAGACAGTGTCTGCATGTTGACTGCTTTGTGCCTTCTGGTAGTGACTGCAAGTTTTTAAGAAAATGTGTTCTAAAACTATGGCATTTCAATTCAGGTTCCAAAAGTTCTTTAGATGCCACGGGTGAAGCTTTGAGTAAAGAAAGGAGGGTGGTCCAGTGCCTGGCAGGACCTCCAGGGTTTCACTACCTTGACTTCAGGGTCTCCTGCTGAGACTTCACATCCTGTAACATCTTCCCCTGGCTAAGGTCATTAAGATGCACTGCGGATCTGGGGGGACTCCAGCAAATAGGGCCACAGTGAGATTTCTTCTACAGGTTGCCTGTCTCTGTTGTCACCCCAAGCGGCCTGCTGGCCACCCCAGCAGCCAGCCCTGAGGCTGCCTCATGTCCCCAAAGCTGCTCATGTCCCTTCCTGTGTTGTTCTGTGTGCGGCTGCAGCCATCAGTACACTCCTCTTAAATGGCTTGTCATTGTTAGCTATGTTTGGCTCACACTGTCCTTACCTTCACTGTGGCAGCGTGTGATAAGAACTTCAGTCCTGTAACAGTGCAGTACAACAAAGCCCCTTTTCTATCTGTGACTGAGCTGAACTAAGCAATTTTATCTGCATATGTTTAAAAGACTGAAGTGCAGCCTTGAGTCCAAGTAGTTACATAAAAATATGATGAAATACGGGCAGCCACATAATCGCATCAAAATGGGTGCATTTCCTTCTCTCTATGTGATCTTACTGGATCAAGTGCATTTCTGCATTCATTAAACAAATGCATAATTAATTACAGCAAATGAACAACAACCACAAAAAAGGTTCCTGGCCCAGACTCCTATGTTTCAGTTCTAAAATGAGATTTTCTGTGTTGAATCAGGTAGAAACAGCCACAGATTCCGACACGGAGAGCCGAGGCCTGCGGGAGTACCATTCTGTTGGCGTGCAAGTAGAAGACGAAAAGCGGTAACTCCCCACTTCCGAGCGGACATGTCCCCCAAGCAAGCTGCTTGCTAAATGCTGAGCTGCAAGCTTTAGATCCCGCCGCACTGGCCATGAGTAACCACGTTGTTTGTGGAGACAGGCCATTTGCTCTTTTCCATTTGTGTCGCTCAAGTATGAATGAGCAGAGGTCATATCTTGCTTTTAAGAGGGAGGGGAATAATTCCTTTAAAAGTAATTTACCACCTATGAAAGCAGAATAGTCCACTGCCCTGAAAATTGAAGTACTTTGCCCAAAAACTTTTTCCAAAAAGAGAATAGGTTGAGGGTGATTCTGACCTTATAATGCTACAAAGGAAGAAAAAGGAGAGACAGATGGGCCGGAGGGGGGATTGGGGAGAGCAGGGAAAGAAAGAGAAGAAAGAAAAGGGAGAGGGAAGGGGAGAGAGGAGAGGAGAACCAGATATCAGCTATCTCGTGGAATGATTCCACTTCAAAGCTCTGCCTAGGAATATAAAATGCTCATGGGCATCATTCACAGCAGTTCTTTAACCAGGGCAGAACAATTATTTCCCTGGTGTTATGGAACATGTATGACCAACATCATGACAGCAGAATGTCCATCTAAGCTCAATGTCAAAAGCTGGAGGTACCTTGTCCATGCACTGTGCTGAAGACAGTCCTCCCTGGAGGGTCTTAAGACCCAACAGGCAAATATTTTAATTGCAAAGAAATTCAGTTCATAACCTAAGGTCTTCCGAGTCACCTTCAAGGGACCAGGGTATCAACTGCACCTGGATACGTCACTTTTCTGTACCTCTGCAGGGAGATGAGCCGCACTCCTTTACCCACACACCACCCTGCTCTCTGTGGGTCCAGCAGTGCAGTGAGCATACACCTGTGCTAACATGGCATGATAGTACACATATCACATACACACAGAGACACATACACACGGATATATATACACATACACTACCCATATACCAGGCAGAGATATACCGTTACATACATACATACACTGTGTGCATAGACACACAAACTTATACCCATACATACACTGTATGCATAGGCACACAAACTCACCACGCACAACATACATACTCCATACACAGAGTTACACATGTTAGCACAGCATCCACACAGGGTTCTCATCCAGTGATAGACTCTTTTGAGCTAGTCCTTGTCATGTCTGTAATAGCCCCTTGAAAATAAGTGATTGACAATGTCCTTGAAACACTTGCTGGAGTCAGAGCTGAGATGTGTGAGTTTGTATATGACAGCAAATGGGCTGATGTGGTATCGTCCCAGTAGGGAACTTGCCCAGGCCCTAGAATGGGATCCAGACATCACAACACTCCACTTGATACAGAATTATACACACAGACCCCAGGACAGTGGTATGCAAACATAGCACAACTCTAGGTGCTGGGTAGCCTGATACACTTGAATCAAAGTGCTCTTGCTCACCCAGTACAGTTGAGTCAAAGTGGGCATGGCCTAGACTTTGAGAGTTAGGTAGATACTGAAGTCCACTGGTTTGTCAGACACTTCATCCCTCATGGGAACACCCAAGCAGTGAGTAGATAAAAGCACTGACCTGTCAGTGGGAGTCAGTACTAAGGCTTGGGAGGGTCCTTGTGCGGATCTTCAGGACAAGGCTGTATCTGTCCTCTTCTGTCCTTTTCAAGGCACGGTCGCTTCAAGCGTTCGAACAGTGTCACAGCTGCTGTGCAGGCCGACCTGGAGCTAGAGGGCTTCCCGGGACACATCACCATGGAGGACAAGGGCCTGCAGTTCGGATCCTCCTTCCAGCGGCATTCAGAGCCCAGCACCCCAACCCAGTATGGGGCCCTGAGGACTGTGCGGACCCAGGGCCTGTTCAGTTACAGGGAGGACTACAGAACGCAGGTGGACACCTCCACCCTGCCCCCACCTGACCCCTGGCTGGAGCCTTCGCTGGACACGGTAGAGACCGGGAGGATGTCTCCATGCCGCAGGGATGGCTCGTGGTTCTTGAAATTGCTGCACACAGAGACGAAGAGGATGGAAGGCTGGTGCAAAGAGATGGAGAGAGAAGCGGAGGACAACGACCTCTCGGAAGAAAGTAAGAACCTGGCGTCTCCCTGGGGTGCGTCATCCATGGGCAGCGAGGTAAATAAACGAAGGAGAGTGCCAGTGGGGAGCCGACCCCCCACATCTGAGTGCAAGTGAACGTGCTCTCCACTGTCTCCCACTCCGGCAGTCCTAAGTCGCAGCATAAAACACGCACAGGAAAGCAGCTGCCAGGACACTGAAGGGCGCGCTTTTCTTTTAGTTTTGTTTCGTTTCATTTGCCGGACTGGGCACGATAAGAACCATGCTAATGCTTTTCCCAGGTGGTTCGCCACCTCCCAGTTCTCTTGTGTTCTGGCATAACTTAATTTGGACACTTTATTATTTGTCCCACGTTGAAGCTAAGTAGGAGCCCTCCAGTCATCCCTCTTGACCACAGGGTTCAGTGGGACTCCACCCACAAGACCCCCAACTGAGCATTCCCAGTGCAGATCTATCCAAGGTCCCTGCTTCTCCTTGTAGAGAGTAACAAGAACTGCACTCCCCACCTGCCTCCTTTTTTACTTAATGAAATCTAGCACCACAAGGTAGGATCCAGTGGTGTAATGTGGTGATGAGGTTCCCAGAGACTGAAGAGAAAAGGGAAAGAAGAGGGGAAAGGAGAAAGGGAAGGAAGACAGGAGGGAGGAAGAGGAGACAAAGAGGGAAAGGGAGGGACTGAGGGAAGGAGAGGGAGGGAGGGACGAATAGACAGAGGGGAAGAATGGATAAGAGAGCAATAAAAAAAAGAGAGAGAATGGATGGGAGGGAAGGGGGAGGGAGGGGGAGGGAG